TTTATGATATATTTTATTTCTTCACTTAATTTTTCATTAATGAATTGGTTTGCCTTATCAGACAGTTTTAGGCAAATCGTGTTACTTAACATAACTTGCTTGTTCAAAGTACGCTTACAGTCTTATTCAAATTAATACAACATTTACTGCAAATTGATTTATATAGTTCTTTTTTGCTCCAAATAAATTATTTGGTAGTTAAAAGGACGGAAACAATCAAAAATAAAAATGAAAACAAAAGTTTATTATCGTAAAATTTACATTGCTGTCTATTAAAATATTTGATTTAACTAAAATCATACTGCACAGTGTCTAAAAGAATGTAATTGAAACCACCGATGAAATATTATCGATCCTTATTTTAGTTGGAATGATGGCACTTTACTTCACTGATTCGTTCGTGTTCAGTCTGGTTTATGTGAGGGTAATCTTAATAATTTTAAAATTTTATTTTCAACGGGAATTCTTTTTTGGTTGAATTATCTCTAAGATTATTTTTGAAAATTGCACTTCAGTCAATCATCATCCCCTTCGTTACCTTTTTTAACATTTTGCGAATTTTCTAAGGACACAAGTTTGATACTTTTTGACGTATTATTATAACAGAATTGCTTTTACTTGTTTCCAGAGGTGTGATTTAGTTGTATGACTTCTCAGACGCCAATATGAATTCCATTTGGTTGGCCTATTTTTGATTTTGTCGAAACGTCTTTGAATTTTTTTCAATCATTTTGCTCAAATTAAATTAAGGTAAGTCAGCTTATTTTGTAATAATTCGATATTACATGAATACTAATTATAAGAAGCATCCTATTCTTTTCTTAATGGATTAATTCAATAAAAAACGTTCCCAAATTCACTTCTTTTAATAGATTTGATTTAATACTCTTATGTTTTTGGAATAAAAAAATTTAATCGGTAATTTGTGATCATTAAAATTAATTTTGACCTAAAATTGGAATTAAACTTGAAATACGAAAAAATACAATTATTGAGAAATATGTACAAATATTTTCGTCGTCTTTTTCCTTTTGCAATATCCAAAAAAGAAATAATCCTTTCTTATGACGGTAATGCTACAATTTAAATATATGCTTTTTTATATCATAACGAAATCAGGTCAAATTCCCAGGTCTAAATTTTTTTATTTTGATAAGCTTTTTATTTTTTAGTTTAAATAAAATGCGATTTTTGGAAAGTATTTATCAACATTATGGACGCTATGTTGCCAGACATCCTACTCCATTTCTGGTAAGAGTTATTGCTTTATTTAGTTTACTGCTTCTTCTAAGCAGTAAAATCTATGGTAGATAAAGTAGAAATGCTCAATAATTTATTTTAAATTATCTCCGGAAGCATCTTTTTTTTCATGACAAAATGATATCGGCGCGGTACCAATAATGGAAAAAATAAATCTTCTGTTTTTTGCTCAAATTTTTTATTGCAGAAGAAAAAATCTAAATTTTTGAAATCAATTAAACTTCTTAAGGTTTTCATTCTTCTTTTTATTTTTGTTAAAAGCGCTAATTGTGAAACTAATTGTAATTGAATTCAGCTCCTGCCGATTATCATAACATTATCTTTAACTATTGGATTGCCTCGCTTTCATGTTGACAATGACATTTGGAATATTTATTCACCAGTAAATGGGTTGTGTCGTGAGGAGGAAAAAGCGTTGAGACGGTTTGAATATGCTAGCGGTGCACATCATTACAGAGTAATTACTTAAATTTAAAATGTAAATTAGGAAAATTAAATATAGAAAATTAATTTTATTATCTTCCTTTTGTTTTGTTTCATTTGTGCTTTAAATTTTTTTCTATCAAAAATTTTGATGAGCGGCTGCCTCATAATTTTTTATATTGGAAAAGAATTAAAACAAAGATATTTGCAAAAATTTCCAGCACTACTTTCTGTAATCGATTATTGTTCCTAATCAAAATAAAGTAGAATATTTGGATCCCTTAATCAAAATATTCTACTTTTAGAGAAAGAAGATTATATTCTTTTTTGGGATTTCTCATTGAAAACATTTTGCAATTTAACAAACGGAAGAAATATCAGTACTTTCTAGCATTGTAAAAATGATAAAATTTGTCTCGTTCCATAAAAGTGTAGGGCATAATTGTCAAGAAAAAATAATGTAACTTCTTTTAAAATTAATTTATCGCCCATGTTTCACTTCTTCGAATGAATTAATCAATCATTTACAGCATTTGTGAATCATCTAGTAAGTCATCTGCAATCCATTCACGACACATCGCTTAACTAATTTAAATATCATATAGCTACATAATAGGGTAACTGTTTTAAAATGATTCAAGAATTTGAGATTTAATCATCTTGCAAAAAATAAATAAATTTTTGTAAGATATTTTGGAAAAAAGATTACAGTGAAAATTTTAATAGAGCTGCGTGTCTTTCGCTTCTTTTCTTTACAAATACAAGAAGCAAACACCAAAAATGTTAATACTGAAATTGAACGTCAAGAAATTTCCAGTGATTGGATTTTGAGAATTTCATTTAAAATGCAAAGAGACTACTGAATGCGTCAAGGACAAATAGTGTTGAATGAAAATTTTGCAATCTATTGCAGAACAAAATGATGTTATTTTTGAGACTTTTTTTGGATAATTTTTTGCAAGATTTTGCAAGCTAATCAAATGCATTGTATACAATAGCAATGTTATTTTTCTGCCAAACTCAAAAATTGAAATTTAGAAATTAATTGTCGCCCGGAATTTTATGTAACACATAATTGAAGTCGTTACACTGCAAAGCAAAATAAATAAAAAATAGAAGTGCAAGAAGGAATCCGGAATGATTATTTGGTTGCAAAAAGTAATAGCTGAGTGATTGGTTAGAAAGGAGAGAAGAGAAAATTCACTACCAATCAATTGTTTTCGGTTGTGTGACCGGAAGAAGTTACTTAAAATTAGTCCAAATTAAAAACATTTCTCCGCATTAATTTTAATTTTGGGGAGTGTAAAAATACTTCGAAAAATCCCCACCAAGAACTCAATGATCTTTATAATACTTCTATGTGCATTAAATCAATATATGTATATAACATTATACACACAGCTATTAATTATCTTTCATCAAATATTGAATGCATTACTGTATATTACTCGAGTATTACAGTAAATTTATACTTATAAAGCTTAAGTGACCCTAAAGCGAACAATTATTGATGAGATTTTTAATTTTTCCAAATTTTTATTCTGAACAATTTAAATGCAAATATCACCGCAAGTAATTTTCTGTTTCAGTTGCAAATTTTGGTAAATCGTAAAGATGGAGGTAATTTAATGAATGACAACAATACGGATGAGATGTTAAAGATGGAAAGATTTATAGTTAATAATGTAACTGTCAGTGATGGCATCCAATTTTTCACCTATCATAACATTTGTGGTGTTTATTGCAATGAGAGCAATAACATAGTTCTTACCTTTATAAAGGTTTATTATTTACTTATTTGTTTGATAGCAGTATTTTATAATAAAATAATGGTTGGGTCATGAGTTTCAAACTATAGTATATTTTAATTTGAAGGTTAAAGTTATGATTCAAAAGTTCTTTTGGAACATTTCTATACGTGCAATGATCTAAAACAATTACGGTAAAATTGTATTAATTTTATCTTGCAGTGCAGATAAATTTTCAGGCGGCAATCACTATGAATGGTCGGTCTTCATCATCATTAGCTTTCACATTCCCAAAAGCGAGAATATTTGAGAAATATATTTTTATGGGGTATGGACTATTTTAGATTATTCATTTCCAATTAGTTTTAAAATTTGTGGCAAAATGTAAAATGCATTTGTTGAATTTTCTCTTGTTAGAACAGAAAATATCATTGCGATATGCACTGAATTTCTTTTGCATTATTAGAATGAATATTGAAATTTAAAGGTATATTTAAAATTTTGATTGCTGATATGTATTGGTGTATATATTATTAAATGTATTATTTGTGCACATTTAGGTACTCAGTTGGTAATTTGCACTACTCTGAGCACGATGCAACAATTGTTGATGGTTTCAAACTCTTCATACTTCATTTTATGGTTGGGAAATGATTGCTCAGATTTGATGACCAGAAATTTTTTTTTAATTTAGAAATTACTCCATTTTGCAAAGAATTGACTTTGGATTTTTTTTGAACAGGTGAATTTAAATCTTCCGCATGGCACAAGAATTGCAAAAAATTTCGAATCGAAATTGCGAAAATTACTTACATTGGCTACTTATGAATCCAAGGTAAAGAAATATTATGATCTGTAAAGTGCTAGAAAACATAGAATTGTTATTTTGTGCAAAAATGAAATACAAAAAAAAAGACCGAAACCAATGTTATAAAAATAATTCTTTGAAAATTTTGTCTTTTTAAAAAATAGCATTTTGCGCATAAATAAACGTATTTTTTGCTATTTGAAATTCTTCCATTAAAATTCTCACTTTATTTTGAAAAATTGGAAATTTATATAACATTAAAAGTTTAAAAATTACTGAAACATTAAAACTTATTGAAAGTTTCAAAGATGTAAAATGAGAAATTTCAGGATCTGGAATATGCTCTATTCAGCAGAAATCGTGAAATTGAAGAGCAGGGTCAAATAACGCTTGCTTCTTTGCCATTTCTGGGCGTGACTGCTTTGGTGCTAATTACATTTATGGTCATTAGCTTGATCGACTTTTCATTCCAAAATAGTCAACATATTGAGGTAAAATTTTTTTTAATATCCTATTCTGAATAACATTTTTAGAATTGATTAAAATAGGAATGAGGAAATAATTCATTTAAGCTGTTTAGAACTTAAATTTCAGGCTATTTTTGCGGTAATTTCACCGGCGATGGCATTAATTACTTCATGGGGTATTTTATGGGGTATTGGTTTACCGTTTTCCAATATTCTAACTGTCGTACCTTTCCTCGTTATCACAATTGGCGTCGATGATGCATTCCTCATATTATCTGCATGGAGGCATTCAAAGTAAGCGCCTCCTTGAATGTACCTAAGTTTTTTTTTTAAATTTGAATATTGTGATTACTTTCGAAATTCAATATTATAAAATATGATTCAATTACCATTTTATTTTTATACATATATGACTTGTAAACTTTGTACATTTTTATACTTCTAGCCCAGCTTCTGATTTTGAAACACGAATGGGTGAAACGCTTACTCATTCCGGCACAAGTATTACAGTAACTTCGCTTACCGATGTATTATGTTTTATGGTCGGACTATTTTCGAATTTACCTGTTGTACGATTATTTTGTATTTATACTTCCGTCGCAATTATGATTGATTTCATTTACCAGGTATTCTAGATGAATTAACATTCGATTAAAGATTCAATTACATTATCATGTATGATAACAAAAGTATTGGATCTTTAGGTTTCTTTTCTCTGTTTTCGTCATATTTAAATTTTTCTAAAATATTGTAAATCAGAATTGTTTCAGATTACATTTTTCATCGCTATTGTTGCATACAGTGGAAAACAAAGAATGAATCATCTCGAGGAAAAAGCATTATATTCTAAACAAGTAAAACATTAAATTCTACGTTTGACAAAGGATACGCTTGATGATAAATGAATCATTTAGAGATTCCACGTAACTGACCAACGATGATATAATGTGAAACTTTTCGGAATTATTCTATTTGATGATTGACTAGCCAATGAAAATTCATAACGATGAGTATGATTTAAAATGCTCTGTGATAGTTAGTTGCATTTGATATGATAGTGGGTTATTGATTAAGTCTAGAAATTTTCATCAATACACAAGTTAAAAGATTTTAACGATACTTTCTTCCACGGTATCATAGTCTGTAATCTGTGATTTACTGTTATCGTTTTTTTTTTGCAGAATCTTAAATCGAGAAATATCTTAGATGGATTGTGGTCAAAAATTGAACTGAAAGATTCGCATAAATTATATGCTGTCGACGTTGATATTCCAAAATATTGTTTAAATGGCGGCGATTCTTTGTCACCGAAAATGTTGCAGAAAACATCAAAAAAGAGTGAAACTGTTCTGCAAAAATTTGTCGATGTCCTTCATTTACCACTTACAAAATTCGTTGTTATTGCAACATTTATTGCTCATATTACTGTAAGTTAAGGAGAAATCGATTTCTTTATTCTTTTTTTAGCATTTGCGTTGAAGTTAATTCTTTCAATCTCTTATGAAATGAGGGAAAACTATTGGAATATGAATTGATTCTAAATATTCAAATTTAGATTGAAAAAAAGTTCCATATTGATATTCTGTAAAATTGAGCTTTAAGTTTAAGATAAGTAGCAAAATGCTAAGATTTGAGAATTATATTTGATTATTCAAGCAACATGTATTTGATTTGAGAGATTTTTTTTCAATTCATTTTACTCAAACATTATTCATTTGCTAATTTTCTCTCATCTTCAAAATTTAAATAGAATTCAAAATGCAACTTTAGGTAGTATCGTATCTTTGCACCAAAGTGAATACAAATTTTGATATGGAAAATTTATACTTGAAAAATTCAAGTATGAGTGCAATTTCACGGCAATTACAACGTTTCACCCTCAATGAAGCATTCGTCGTCAATTTCGCTCTCTATCCAATGCCCAATTTTGCTGATGTTTTCATTCGAAATAAATTCGATCGCCTAATCGAAGAACTCGAAATGATACCAAAATTCAGTATGGGATCAAATGGAACACTCTTATGGACTAAAGATTTCGCAGATGTTAGCAGAATTCACGATGATTTTTCCACTTTTCATAGCATAAAAATTTTAAGGAAGAAAAAAACGAGTGATTAATTGTTATGGAATAATTGAAACTAAGCAGGTTCACTTTGTCAGTTTGTGAAATAATCCAAAAATTGACAGAGTTGGAGAAATAGTTCAATGAAACTATTATAAAAAATAATCCTTCCCAACAAAATTCTATTAGAAATGGAGTAATTTAATTAGCTTCATCATCATTTATTCTTAGAATAAATGTTACAAATTAGAACTATATTCTACAGACAGTAGCATTTTGGGATGATGAAAGCAATTTCTGGCGACCAGACAAACTACTTTCAACATTTCGAGAGTATGAAATGGAAGAAAAGTTCATCATAACTGAGTTAGTTTATGATTACATTTATCTGACTGGTAAATTAATTTAAAGAGCAATTATAGCCAAGAAATATATACAAAACTTGGGCCAACATAATTAGCTGACTCAAAGTTACTGCCTGAAATGTTAACTTTATCACTGCTTCTTTACAATCATTTTTTTTAACAAAATGCTTAACAGTTTTGTGCAATGTTTTTTGGGAAAGGTTGAATCTTGATTGCAATGAATTAGTATCTCTATCCTAATCATATTTAAAAAGAAGTATTTAATCTCAACTAATAGTTTACTGGAAAAAGGAATATTTTTTCCCTCTCTCTTTTTTTCTTTCTCTGTTGCTCCGCTAATAAATACATACATTTTAATAAAAATTTTTTTGACAATCTAGCATTTTGATATATGATTACACATGCAAAATATGAAAATATTTTAATGAGATGATCTATCAGGTGAAGATTGGAAAAAATCAATCTTTAATTATCATATTCTGATTATTATAATTATTATATTCTGAGAAAGTGGACAGCCTTTATGTCCACTTTCAATCTCTTTGATCTTTAGAAGGAGAGCTCCCGCAATCTGTTGAGTATAGCAGCGCTTTTGTTGTACTATTAGCCACAGGAGAAAGGACTCGAGCATTTTGATTGAACAGATTTCTGTAATAAATAATTTTCTTGGAATTTGATGACAGATTTTACTCATTTCTTGCTATTTTCATTTCTGATTAATTTCTATCAAAAATAGAGATGCAAAATAAATTTTACCACGGTAATGTTAATGCTAAACGCAAAGAAGCGTCAACGAAAGCAAATAAAAGATTATCACTTTTTTGTTGATAATTTTGATGAATAAATTTCATGCACTCCAAAGAAAAAAATGGAATTATGAAAAAGTTCTCACAATTATATAACAAATAATAGTTTTCAGGAAAAGAGCGGATGGTGTGGAAGTGATTTCTGGTTTCTTTTGGTCAATAACTTACTGTAACATGAGCAACTTTTTAGATGTACAAAAGCTTATGCAACAAAGGTTTGCTTCACTCGATCTTATCATATTCAAAACTCTACTACTCCGTCTAATATCGCTGTTAGAATTTCAATTTCAAACATTGAGTTAAAATTTTTTTAAATTTCTGTATATATTAAGTAAGATTTCATCCATTCTCTTCTCTTCATTGATAAATGTCAATGCTTAATATCATAATCAGTAACGATAATCATTATGACACAAATCCTCCCTTTTTTCTTTGAATAAGCAATTCAAATAAATTCTAGCAAACTGTTATAATAATTAAAATATGCAAAAATTTTTCAAAATTCCTATAAGTATCCTTTTCATTATTAATATCAAACTATTAATGTTTTATAATTGTTAATTTAGACGATCAATAATATCGAAATATGCTCAATTCTTCAATATTAGCTCTCATCATCCATTGGAAAAAGTTCCAACTGAATCAGCAGCTAGCACAGCAACTAACTTTGTCCAAGCTTCATGTTTGTTATCCGTTTTTTCTTTTTTAATTTTTGAAATTAATTTATCAGATATGCAATAAAATTAAAAATTCCCCTCGCTACTCGAAATGTTAATACGAAATACAAAAGGATAAAAGTGATTGACAGAAATTCATCGAATATCAATATATTTATTTATATTTAAAAATTAATTACTCTAGGATGAAGAAATTTTTTGCGCTATTAAGTTTAACAATAATTGCAGTTTCTGCTGTTATTTTAATGTCAGTCTTAGTTTACTTCTTCATCACTGACTTATATGCCGTCGTAGCCGTTGCTATTTCCATTCTGTCCATTTGCTTCGGAGCACTTGCATATTTGCATTTATGGGATGTGCGATTGGATGCGGTCTCTCTGATCAGTTTACTAATGAGTATTGGCTTCTCGGTTGACTACAGCGCTCATATCTGTTATCATTATCTTGCACAAAAGGTATTCTATTCTTATACTTATTATATAATACTACTTTTGAGTTAACTTTTTGATTTTTTATCGATTCATCACATTATGTGGGCGTATATATATATATAATATATATATATTGAAAATGGAAAAGCTCACAGTTTTTAGTATTTTAATTTATTTATAAACATGTAGGACAATAAGAAATCGGAAGAACGCTGTCATCAACCCATTTCAATCATTGTTGGCTCCGATGTAAATGCCAAAGATTTATCGACCTTACCATCAATCAATAGTAACAACCGTTGTAGTAATTCGATTCCTGATACTCGAGCAAGATTTCTCGCCACTTTCAAAAATGTCGGATGGCCTGTAATTCAGTCGGGGCTCAGTACTTTACTGGGTAAGTGATACCATTATTTATCATCGATAATTGCTATAAAAAAATGTATAACAGCAAATTTTTACAATTTTTGGTCAAATTTAACAATACCTAATTTCATAATTAAGGATCAAAATAATTAAAATTTAAGCTTATTTTTCAATAGTAAGAAGTTTTTGAAGTAATGAATAGTTTACAAATTTTCAGGTATATTACCTATGATTATGGTGGAAGCCTATGTGGTTGCTGTATTCTGGAAGACAATAATACTAATAGTTGTATTAGGAATCATTCATGCATTAATTTTGTTACCTGTAATTTTGATAATTTTCGATGATTTGGAATGTTATATAAAAAAATCTTATCGATCAAAATAAGTTAATAAATTGATTAAAAAGTTCTCGGTTCGATGGATTCATTAAATACAGTTCTTTGCAGAATTTATTTCTGAATTGAATAAATTGAAAACATTGTATTACACATTGCTTTTTTCTTTCAGTAAATTTCTTCTTTTAATAATATTTATGAAAAACGTTCTTTTGTTTCGTTGATGAAAGGGAATAGCATTAGAAAATTGCGATTTTTTAATTTAAATGATCTTCCAGTTCTAAACAGTTCGGACACAAATTTAACTCAATTTTTGAGCTCCTTTGAGGATTTGAATTCATTTAAATATTTTCAATTTCTAACGAGTGGTCCTATTTCAATTTACTGCGCTAAAATTGCGATTTTTAGATTGAGCAAAGGGTTGATCCAAAAATTTATCGGTGTGTTCTTTATCAGTCTTCTTTCTTACTTTAAACTTTAGCTGAATTATAAAAATTTTTGTTCAGAAGTGAAAATTTTCAAATACTTGCAAAATTGCAAATCCATTCAGAGTCGCGAAATGCCAGATCCAACATATGTGACTTTTCTGAAAAAGCATATCACTTACGCTTCCAATAAGTTTCAATATTTATTTCGTTTGAAAGTTTTGTCCTTAATTATTTAAACATATTATCAATCAAATTATTGGAAATAAGAGATTCAAGTAAGAGTGAATACAATAAAATTCAGCTTGATATTCAATATTATTAACATTAGATGGAAAATTAATTATTTGATTTATGCACGAGAGCGAATAAAATTTAAAACACTGTATAATTTCAATACAAGAAATCTTTTGGCAAACTGAACAGCACATCTTTTCACTCAAACATTCTAAGCATAGTAAAAAAATGTTGCAATTGTAATAAACCTAATTAATTTCTGTATTTTTTTGCCTTTTACCGATTGATTATACGATGCAAGAATTGCTTCCCATTTTGGATGATGCAAAAAAATTGTTTCTATCAGAATCAACTCTCCTGGAAGTTGATGTGCCGTGTGTTGTGATCGGTGATATCCATGGACAGGTATGTAATCCCCTTTTCTTCTTCTTGAAACAATTTCAAATAATCCTTTTTCTCTTCGCTGCAATATTTTCAAGATTATTCAACGAGTAACTGAGTTATGGGATTTGAAAGGTATTTTGAAAAAACTGATAATGGGTAAATTTTTTAAAAAATTCATAGCTAATTTCATTTCATTTGAATCAATTTTTGCAAACTAAAATTATCGTCTACAAAAAGCAAAGATTTTTTCAGTACGAAGATTTGCACCGAATGTTTTCGGTTCTTGGCAGAGGTCGGAAAAGCGGCGCTGTGAAACGACGTTTTGTATTTCTCGGTGATTACGTTGATCGTGGGATGAACTCATTGGAAACAATTTGCTGCCTTTTAGCGCACAAATTAATGTTTCCAAAGATGGTAAATGATTAATCGAATTTATGCTACTTATATCAAAAAGATGAAAATTAAAACATTTAATTAAAATTAGTTTCAGTTCAATATGCTACGTGGGAATCACGAATCATCAGATATTAACCAAACATATGGCTTTCAAGTAGAGCTTGAGCGAAAATTTCCAACAAATAATGAAGGTTTTATATTATGGAATGCATTTAATGAATTATTTGCTTGCTTACCACTCGCAGCTATAATTCATAATAAAATATTTTGTATGCACGGAGGTATCGGACCAGAATTGAAATGTTTGAATGATGTTAAAAAGGTTAAATTAATTATATTTAATTCAATTTAATATTTTAGCAAATTGTTGTGCGAATTTTTTTTTTGCTCATTTGTGTTTCCAGCTGTAATATTGTTATTTTGTTAAGAAATACTATGTTTAGTAATGTTACTTAGTTTGCAGCGGTCGATCAATATCTTAAAATTTCAGATCAAACGTCCAATTTCTGATCCAACAGAATCACCTCTGGCATGTAGTCTGTTATGGTCTGATCCTATGCTTGACTTGAAAGGTTTCATTAAAAATTCAATTCGTGGAGCCGGCTATTTCTTTGGTGAAGATACTGTAATTGCTTGTTGTCAACAACTAAATATCGATCTCATTGTCCGGGCACATCAGGTATCATCCTTTTCTCTGTTTGCACTTGCAATTACTGCTAGTCCGGTAGAATGCTATTTTCCATTTCTTGTCATTGCTTGTGATAAGTTTGAAATTTATTTTAATAAATGAATCCTTGTAAATTAGTTTCTTATTTTCAGTATTGCTTCAAAAGTGTAAGACGACCAAAAATTTGCATGAAGTTGATTAAATAAATTACTTCCATATTTTGATTTTGAAAAAAATTGCATGTTATTTCAGATGATAATGAATGGTTATGGTTTCTTTTGTAAACGACGATTAGTTTCGGTCTTTTCAGCGCCACGTTATCTTTTATCAAAGGTAAAATTTACAAATAATTTTAAAAATTCGAAAATTCCATAGCCAGTTTGACTTATAAAACTTTGAATTATGGCAATTTTCTTTTTTAATTTTGAACAAATTTTAAGAATTAAGCCATTATTTAAATTGCCAGAATAATAAATGTGCTATAATGCAAGTGGAGAAAGATTTAAGAGTTGGCTTCATATTACTTTGCCCGGTGACGCCTGAAACACAAGGTAAGTTGTTGTCTTTCTACATCGTCGAATTACAACGGAACAACATCTGGAGTTTCCATTGGATATAAAAAATGATACATTTGTTGACTGTAAGAACTGATAGTCATCAATAAATAACTTACTTAATGCTTGAATAACTTACCTAATCTTTACTAATAAGTAGTTTATCTATTACCTTTACTAACTGTAATGACTGCTAGTTGATAAGTGATTTTAATCGAGTTATCAACAAATATTTACCTAATGCTTACTTTTTAGGACAAGAACATTTCCGAAATTTTTTCACAAAAAATAATGACAGTTCATCATTTGCTTCACGAAAAGCTGTAGCAGAAGGTTTTTTATGCGAATCTATCGATAGCTTTCGTGGAAACGTAAAGTTTAATATGTGAAATATTGCGTATTCTATCCTCACCATATTGCATAAAAAATAATCTTAAATTTGTAATCAGAATTATCTATCAAATTTGAATAAAAATATCCAAAAAATATTTTTTGGATATGTTTATTTTGCAAAATGTTTACATCATTTCAATTTATGTCAATCCACTGAAATATCGATCGTACATAATTGCAATGATTTTTCGTATGGGATGAGCGAAATGAATTCATATCGGATGTGTATGAGGCAAATGATCCAAAATGATTCGTCCAAAATTAATTGAGAGAAAGACAGAGAAAGAGATCACTTAAAAACTAGTTTTTAATTTTATTCAATCCAGTGCTTTTAGTATCGGTACGAGATTATAGGTGGAATAAGCTAAGAATTATTGATTTTTTCGTTTTCATCGAAAATCGATCCCACTTATTCTCGTTATTTTCAGCAAACATAATTTTGTTAAATTTTTTTCGGGCCTGCAAATAAACTAACTACGATTACAGTTAATTCATTTTCAAATTCATTTCATGTTATCATTTATACTTAAATTACTCATTCACTGAAGTGTGATATTCGAGACAATTTTGTACCAAAGTATTTTGATGAATATATTGTGATTTTTCTATTAAATTTAATCTATTCATTAGATGCATTTTAATGCTTCTAAACTTGATCATCTTGAATTCATTCGCTTATCGATGTAATAAAAAGAAATAAAAAATGATATTGAAATTTGCATTAGGATTTTATCAAGTTATTTTGATCCTTAACTTTTTACAAATTCACAAATTGCCAAGACTTATTTGGAAAAAGATTTTTGCTAAATTAATAATAATGTTTTTTATGATAGCAGCTCTCAGTTAAATTAACATTGCAAAAATTTTATCCTTCACTCTTCCAGAAATGATGAAACGCTGTGGAAATATAACTTCTAAAATCACTTTTCACTTCCTGCTGCTCTTTCCGGAAAGTTTTTTTATGTGATGTGCAAAATGGATGTTATGCTTTCTGAATTTAAGAAATCACAATCATGCATTTATTCATTTGACAGTCATTTATTTATTCCACAGCGCAGGAAAGTAATTATGCCATTCCGGTAAAACAAAAAACATATGCAGGAAAATTATAATAGACAATATTAATTATCGTACTACTCAGAGCACAGTTTCAAATCACCAAACTGCTAAATATTGCGATCATTTTATACTCATAATTTAAATTGGGAATGTATGAGTTAGCTACTTAAAACAAAAGTATATGATTGATTTTTAAAGCAAAAACTTTATTGTTTCCTTGAATATTGTAGCTTTTGTTTTTTGCATTTGTTTCTTAATTTTATTTTTTATCAATTAAAAAAGCACGCAAGCTTTTGTCAAGTTTTCAAATTTCACGTTCTCAGTTTCTTTTAATAATAATTTAAGACGAGGTGACGAGGTCTCTTAGTCAATGATAAGATTTGTAATCGATATTTAAACAGTAAGTTAAGTGAAACAAGTTCTAAATCAACAAGGATTTGTTCATGCAAAATTTTAATTACTCTGCACAAGCCTAGCAGCTTGTTACAATGCATGCATATTGCATTCAATTTTTTGCACATGCTTCATTTGTTAATAGCAGTATTAATTTAGAAAGAATGCGTAGAAGTTATTTGGAAATTATAGCAGCGCCATTTTAAGAGCATTACCGTTTCCAATATATTTTGAGGCATTTCAAAAATTTAAAAGGCTAATTCAAAAAGCAATTTCACTTTTCTTTACTGTATACAATGGGAAGTTTTCAATATTTAAAAATGTAATTTTTTCTGAGTATTTGATGTTGAATTGGTTTACTTGCATTACGGTTTATTGATTCGAGATGTTTCATTTTTATGACACTCTATACGATAGTTTTGTAAAGAAGTTAGCAGAAGTCGATGAAGAAGCGCCGGATGATTAGATTGCTTGTTAAAAATGACTTGTTATTTATATCACAAAGATGAAGAAATGCTTGGAAATGATTGTTTGGTTAACATTTGTAACACAAAAAGTTATCAGTATCAAATGCGCAGAATGTAATTATCTACCTCATTCATCCATTTCTGGCATCAGAACTTGCCCAAAAAATTGCTATGGAGATATCTGCTTTATTGGTAACCTATTTTCTACCAATAAATATTTCAATTATTATTACCTAGAATTGTTTAAATTTGATTTTGAATCTTCATATTTAACTTTTTTATAAATTTTTCATTGAGAATGCAAAAAAATCGATAAATGCTCTATTTTAGTAGTAAACAATTACTATAATGAAACTCTGATATCGGGATGTGTGAATGTTGATACTGAAACGCAAACATTTTTCCGCGATCAGGCCTATTGCTATGAAAAAAGTGAATACACGATCTGTGGATGTACTATCTTAGATCGGTGTAATAGTCCTCAGGCACCATTTTCTATGTTCACTTTCATTACCACACCTTTTTTCGAAGACTGTCAATTTGTGCCAAAGAATGGTTCGTTTTCCTATCTTCTTATATAATCAGATCTTTTTTACGATTATTATGAAATCTAATCGGTTATTCAATGATTATTTTTTTTGCAATATAATCATTTAATTTTGTGATAGTTTCATGATATGCAATCATAGCCTTTACTAATAAAAATTGTTTCATTACATTTAGCCTGAAACCGAATTTCAAATTTAAATTATATTTCGAGATTTGCTGAAATTATTTTCATTTCAGGCAATAATGATTGCAGTCCATTCCAATATAATATCACTTTGGAAGAAAATAATTCTGAAATGAAATTATCACTCAAAGCAGAACCTAAAGAATATGGAAGAAATATTAACATGTAAGTTCCTCCTTTTGAAATTTGAACGAAATTCTATATTTCGTATTCGATAATTATTCAGCATTTACACGCTAACTTGTTTCCGGTAATACTTTTTGCAGTTCATATGCAGTTCATGGATATTTTACCAATCAGCTGCTTTGAAAACCTGCAGACTATTTAACCTTTACTTGTTAGCTGGCTTTTTCCCAGGGTGTGGCGGCTTGTGCAATAAGTCTAACCGCTGAATATAATTCAAAATAAACTCCGACGTTAACGTTATAAACCTATGGATAATGCAAGTAGAATTTCAGTATCGAAATAACAGCGGAAAATGTTGGCACTGATGGGTCATCGGTCATAATGAAGTCGACAACATTTCATCCAACGGTCAGTCATTCCATGAAGAGCACCCAATCGATCAGTGATGAAAGTGGACATTATGGCGGTATGTTCGCTTTGCACTTTTTCTTCGTTAATTTTGGTAATTTGGGTAAATGCAACTGCAAATATTTTCTGAGAGCAGATAAGCATGAACAAACCAAAAAGTTAAATTTGATAAGATAGAGCTCTCTATAATTATAAATGAATTTTGTGATTTCATAAGAAATGATGCTTTGAACTGCAAGCGCTTTACATATCTGTTAGGAATCAGTGATTTGATGCTTCTTAAAATTATATAAAATATTTTAAAGATAAGTTTAAGACGTTGTTATATTTATTTTAGTTTTTATAGTAATTCATACTTCATTAAAGTGCAAGAAGTTAAAATACTTAGAACATAAAGTTTAGTAACTCAAAGAACTGAAAAATAATTGAAAACTTAATTTTATAATTTTGTAATGAGAATTTCTTTAACCAAATTAAACCACAATTGTCATGCGAAGTTTCAACATTTATCTTGCCATTTGTTTTCATATCCGGTTTTAATGAATACTTTTTTAGACAACACGAATGGAGTAAGTAGTGAATTTGTTGATGAAGTGATACATAGTTTACTTCCAAGCATAGATCTTCAGCTAAGTATGAATCCAAAATTTAACTATAGCAAGTTCAATCATCAAACCAAAGGTAAGAAGAAATTATTCTGCAGAATTTATAGCAAATAATTTTTATTTCTATTTCTAATTTAATTTCAGAATTTACAAAATCTTTTTTGTTACTTTTTCTAACAGTTAAACTTTTCAGGGAAAATAAATGAGAAAATAAGGATAAGATATGATGGTAATTGTTCTAGCCGTCAGTATGAAATATCCACAATCACTCTTCTATTCATCTTTTCTTTACTTCCGTACTTCCATCAATTACCTAAAAAATTATTATCTTTTCCTAAATGAATAATGTAGCAAATTTTTATATCTTTCTTTTCCTTTCTGAGAAACAAAATTACTCGAAGACCAATGAATTTTTCCACAATTTATTCGAAATATTTTTGCCTTAAAAATTCTCATTTTTAATATTTGTTGATAAATTTTTATTTTATATGTAAATCATTCTTTTCTCTGATTAATCAATCAATGTGATGGATTAAATCCAGATAACTAATTACACATGAAACCAGTTTCTTCTCTCCTGAAGAAGTATTAAGTAAATTTCAAGTTTAATTTGTATTATTTGTTCGGTTCGGTTGTATTCCATTTCCTGACGTGCTTTTCTCTATCCGGTTAATTTCATCTGCTACTATTCATTAAAGAGAGGACCGCTGAGGTAATATGATGGAGTGGTCAGCTTGTCGAGTTTACTCATTCTAATGCATTTTTATTACTCTTAACAATATCTTCTCCCATCTTCTCTAATCACCTCTCTCTCTCTCTCTTTCTCATATTCAAAATAAGGAAAGAAAAAAAGATGCTCAACAGATACTTTTCATTAATAACAAATCAGAAGCTAACAAAATTTTCATGAGAATTCATTGGTGGATTTTTTAACACCGAGTGAATTTCAATGAAATTTACACATTTGCGAAATACTTGACGTACGTAAAAAGGGAAGGAGATGTAGCGAAAAGATAATGGTGTTTGATTTTATGCCACTTGCTAAACTAAGTTATTAATTTAATAACCGTACTTTCTTTATTTGAAAATGATTAAATTAGTGGCATCTTCGAAGTTTATTGTCATACTCTGTGATGATTGGTTATGCACAAAGTAAAAAAAGAAATTTGTTCCTTTTTCAAATGTCACATAAATTTGAATTTTTTTCGTCGCTTTTTTTAAACGAATAAAAAAGATTAAAGCTTCAACAGGTCGCTGTCTGAGAACAGTACAAAAAGGAAATTATCCGTACAATGTTAGTACATGAAAGACTGTACATGTTCAAGATTATCAAATATTGAAGGAAAAAACAAAGTAGCAAAATTCAATAAATTTACATAATCCAGAGTTCCTACTACGATTATGTTAACTCTACTGCTAATATGAGATTATATGTACCATCGAATGGATGTTCACAAGAGTTAGTAAGGTCATTTTTGACCAGTCTCTGAAAAAAAATTGAAATTTGCATTAAGTTTGAACAAACTTCTCAACATACTCTAATTGACTTATCAGTGGCTAGATGCGAAGGGATGATAATTTAGTTAATATTTGTAAATTCTAGATGAATTGTGAACAATTTTTCTTTTCATGAGAGAGAAAAATTCATTAGAAATATGTCAGCGGTTTTTTCTATAAAAACCAGTTAAAACAAAATTCTTTGCTTCTTGTCATACCAATAAAAAATGTGATAGTTAAATGATGAAAGGAAAATATTGTGAGAAGTTTTGCAAACTTCAAAAGCATGGAGTATTGAAATGTGAATGGATTGTAGATCGATTTTCAGGTTTCTTTGCTGTTTGGAAGTGTGCTCGTTAGCTATTACAGCAAATAAATGCTGTTTAGATGAGCAAACTTGTTGTTTACTAGTTTTTTTTAGCAATTTAAATTGATGAGATTTTTTTAACGAAGATTTGGTATAAAATTCATAAATGATAAATTATTATTAATATCATTCTGCATGAAATATCCGACATTCTCACACATATTATCTATTTGCCTATCCTTTTGATCCTGTTTTTCAAACATTCTTGCATCTAACGTTGACGTCCGGTATTGGACATTTGTTTCGGTCACTTCTAATGCTTCATTATTTGTTGAATCAATTTTCTTCTTGATGCCAAGTTTTGTCCTAATTATTCTGAAAATTTAGAATTTGAATAGCTTTGCTTAGAATACTGATATTTCAGTTTCATTTTTTTTCAGTTTTATTTTAGGACTTCAAAAGTTTTTGAAGTGCAGACTTTGGATTTAATTAGCAGTGAAGTATTATTTAATTTCAAATTTCCACATTTCATCAGGAATCCTGAAATCTTTTACGAAATCCTCCATTCACATCAAACGGTTTGGTTTAATTTTTTTTCAATCATTTTTTGTGGATTAAATAATAATTTGCTTGCCTGCTAATTGAAGAAATACTTGGAACATTAAATACGCTGCAGACACCATCACTGATAAGTCGACTACGAATCTCCCATGAATACATCGATGGACGACAATGCTTGTAAATCGCAATTGCTGTTACCACCTTTTTGGATATGATTATTTTCTAATATAACCAAAAAATTTCTCAAATTTCAACTTTCATCTGTTTCATCTATTGTACATGAAGTGGCGTATAGAAAAATGAGATTTGCAATAGCTAGAAAAATATACAGCGGCATTATGGATCGTATCTTGTGGAGGTTAAATTAAGCGAAAAATAATACAATTATCGTTCCTTTGAATTCCTTCGATACAATAAGAACTCAATGTGAGTTATTGATTATGATAAGAATATGAATTCCTTTATCAGTTCAAATTGAATTCTGCAAAATAATAAATGATACCTGAGGAAGCGATTTCTTGGGTTTTGATCCACCAATTTTGCCAGGTCGAATTGAGCCCGTATCTCGATATCTGCGGTAAATGACGGCTTAGAATTTAATGAAATCAATGAATCATACAATGAAATTTACCAAAACAAAAAAAATTGTAATTTCATTTCTTGGAAATTGATCAAAAAGATTTAATCGAGATGTGCTGTGGCGAATTAAAACTAAGCAAAAATTGATAAAATTAACCTAGATAGAATTTTTGACACACAGCCGTGCGATATGCGTAATTGGCGTGATATCTGACAAGGTTTAGTTCCCGAAGCAGCCATTTGAATGATACGTTCCCGAAGATGTACCGGTAATGGCCGTCCATTAGCATAAATACCACCAAGTTGATTCATACCCGCACGTGCTAAATATTCCTGCTATTCTGAATATGTAAATTTTAAGCTACTATAAATCTGTTAAATTTGTAAACTTTCCAAAAAATAGATTTTAAAATAAAATTTAAATTTGTTCTAAGAATCTCCCATAGTGATTATACAATTTAGAAAAGGATTACACATTTGCATTTCAGAAGTATAATTTAATTTAATAGTAATGAAAGATAAAAATTAAGCTTGTTAATCGGCGCTCATTGGCATCATTAAGACTAGGTAAGAAGCCAAAAGCATCACTCTGACCACACCACTTCCATAGTGTTTGATCACCACTGATACGTTCACTTTCTTCTATGGTCTAGAAAAACCAATGCTGATCATTTTCATTGTCATCTATCTGACGACATCATTTGTTTATCATTAAATGATGAAAAAGATTGAACATATATTTATTTGTAATCGATAAAAGAATAAACCTTAAGCCATTCTTCAAATTTCTGATTAAATTCAAAATCACATTGTGTACTGAAATTATCAGTCGTAGTAGCATCACATGTTGTCTGTGAATTTATTGGCGTTGTTGTTATTGTTGACGACGAATTATCACTGGTAATAAGCATTGAATACATATCGGCAATAGATTGATATCTGCAATGTTTATTGTATTCTTTTGTCCACAATATAATGCTTTTAGGATATGAGAAGTATATTTTGAGCAAAGAGAACTACCGCTGGACGAAACATACGAAAAGCTAAATGCTTACCAGAACCTTTGAACATCAAACACAGACTTTTTGCTGCTATTGGATCCATGATGATAAAACCGGTCTTCCAGCTAGCACTCCCCTCAATCATCTCCCGGTATTTGTTCCTACCTTATATTGCGAAAGAACAACAGAAACAGCCTTTTGAAATCCCACGAACTGCTTACTAAAAAAATCCTTATGATCATCGATCTTGATCGCTTGCTATGCTCATTTTCTTCCTCTTCCATTAATACCATTTCTTCCGCTATTCATGAGCATTTATTTCATCCTTCAGATGAGAACATCCGAGTTGGAGGTCAGATCCTTAACTTCATACACAACCTTCTTTCGCTTGGATGAAGGGAAAAGATAGCCGGGAAGAAATAGCTTGCCACTAAATTTATCTAAAATAATATCAAATAATATCCAGGATTTTGCAGTCTCATAAATTGTGATTGCAAGTGCTAAATTGAATAGCTAATTATTAATTTATTATGATATTTTTAGACAATGAAAAAATGAAAAAAACTGTTACAAATAAGAGTTTGATGGAAAATGGTTCTGTAAAGAGACCGAGAGATGCGGGATTGTTCGTTCACTTAAAGTAAAAATGCTTTCAACGAAAGCGACATTTTTTATAAATGACAACATATAGACAATGTTTTATTGAGTGACCAATGAATGACACTTTAATAAATTAGCTGACCACTTTTTGCTAATAGTTAACATTGCAGTAATCACAGGGATGTCTATTCTGCTGGGGAATGAATAAATATTAGGGTAATATTGTAAAGAAAGTGGAGGTCATCTCATTAATTCTCATTATGAATAATGAAATCTAACATTTTCAACCTGAAAAGATGAATAGTTATAGCACAGTTTAGAAAATTCCAGTGAATATAATGCTGACATTATTCAACGAGGAGTTGTTTGGCCATCCAAATGATATGCTTTATCATAGTCTTTTTCTATAACACAATTTTGTAGTATAAATCTTGGAATGGTAATAGTGATGATAATGATAACAGTAATATGATTTCATTCATCCTTTTCCATGCTTGTCATTTTGCACGTAAATTTGTAAATTAACAATCTGGTATAAATGTTATTTGTGATATCATTACATATCAAATGTTTATCATATGTTCCATTAAGCTTGTTAACTTATTCAAAATATAAGTAACCTGTCAGTCTGTCATAAAAGTTAATTTCGATTAGTTATTATTTGTTTTTCTAATGAGTGATTTTATTCAAGTGGAGTGCAATTATTCGGAAGATGAATTGACCTCTTAATTCTTTTTTTTGATAAAACTCAGCACATCTTAAGATTATTCATATTTTATCAACTATTTATGAACTGCGTATTTTATAACGCTATTTACATCTTACAAATTCACCCTCTTTTTTTTGTCTTCATAGTAAAAAAAAAAGTTTTATCAAGAAGCTCTTTATAACTTTTTAATTCTTTTTTTTGATAAAACTCAACACATCTTAAAATTATTCATATTTTTTCTAAAGTAATTAAATGATGATCTAAATTCTTTTTTCATCTGGAATTGAAGAAGATCGCATCTTTAGCAAATTCTGATAAATTTTCTGTGAAAAACGAAAGTTTTTTTAGTGCGAGAAGCATTATAAAATAGGAGATATGAAGAATGGACAGGGATTTCAGTAGAACTTTATCAACCTGTTATTTTGACATGGAAAACATTGATTGCCATCATTAATATAGGATACAGAATGATAAAATGACAATCAATAGTGAATTTTGAAATTAAATTTTCAAGCAAACGACAAGTAGGGAATACGTTTTGCAAATGCAAAATTATGCATGGAACGTACTGGAGACTCAAAATGCATTGCTTTCTTATCGTAGTTGTTCATGTCCTGTAAAAATACACATTATATAATTTTTTGCTTTTATTACTAAATACTTTAATTCTCTTTTTCTGAAATTCATAATTTAAGACTGAAAATATAGATGGAATGGTTAGCAAATTCGATGTGAACGTTTTTAATTGAAATACCTATCTGAGTTAAAATTTATGTTGAACTTCCTATCAAAAGTCTTTTTGGTTGTGATCAACGAAAATTGAATGTTGACATTTTTCTTCTCAAATCTATCATGTTATCCAAAAATATTGATAGTTATTGTAAGGTTTATGGCAAGTTATTATATGAAAGTATTTGTTTCCACATTTAAATCACCCAATGAAAAGTTCAATAAAAAGCAATTTCATTCTAAAGTATAATCACATACAAATTATAATATGTTGTATTAATACCGGTAGAATTAAAAAGTTTGGAAATGCTCATTAACTCTGCAAAAAGCGCTTTTAAATCTAACATAAAATACTTTTTAGAAAGTAATTAAAAGAGAATGAAACAAAGACAATTAGAAAACGAATAAATAATCGTTAAATGAATTTAACATAAGCAATTACATAATGCTCACCTCATAATCATATCGTTTAACAAATGCAAATCTTTGCGGATGTCGCTTTGCAAATGCAAATTTAGCTCGTTTTTCAAATGCCGATGATTCATGTCTATCTAACGCTTCGTCTGTTATCTGCAGAAGATTTTGAAAAAGAAAAAATTAAAAAAAATAACTTCATGAGTTTCAATTTTTAGGGAAAAAACAATCGTATCATTTTCCATAAACAAATTTGCGTCATAATTAATCTGAGATTCTTTTGAGAAATTACTATAAATGTTTCAAAAACTCAATAATATCAAAACTATTTATCTTTCAAAATATAACAATAGTTTCTTACAAGTTTCTCAGACTAAATGGATTGGAAGTGATTTTTAGATATTTAAATATTTATTATGCTTTATATAATTCTAATCAATGATGCCATTTCTTTTCTATAAATGATCATTTAAATGTTGGATTTTTTACCACAGAAATGATTAAATTTATGAGACGGAGTCATTACGATACTGATGTGATTGCTAATTAATGTTAGCATAAAAAGAATAACCTCTTGACATAAAATGGTAGTAAGAAGTGACACGAATATGACAAGTACCTTGAAGCCAGAAGCCATCTTTAATGTATTCTGAAACAAAAAGTTTTCAAATATCATCCGAAGGTGTTTTATCAGCAATAACGAGTAAATCAGTTAAATGTGATCAGCATGTTATATAAATTTCAACATTAAAGATTTTGTTTGAAATTATCCTTTGTTGCTTAAATTTACATTAAGTAAGACCTTGGCAAGAAAAAAACTACTTTGAATTTCTTCTTTTTTATTTCATTATTGCTGTATTCGTTCTTTTCTGTTTCCAAAATCATTGGATGACATTTGTTCATAACTAAAGTTAGTAAGTATACATAAAACAAGTAAGTATACAAGGAATGTTTGAAAATTTCAAAGAGAATATTTTTGATGCTAGAAATTTTTAACATGAAAAGGATAAATTAAATATTTCCGCCTCTTAATCAAGAACAATAATCAAAGTAGAACTGATATTATCATGCATAACAAATCATTATAATAACTAGACAGATATTAAACTCTTTTTTATAAATCGATATTTAAGATTATAAACATGCACTAATTTATTATAGATTTTCTCAATTAGATTGATAGTTTTGTAATAATTTTTTACTGATAGTTTTTTGATTCTTCTATACATATCATCCTTCTCTGCTTTTTCTCTTTTGATAGCTTCGCAATTGTGTACTTTTAATGAAACCAATCTGCATTGGAGAAAGAAAGACAGATCGAGAACTTAATTTTGATGTCATCGAATTTTCTCCATGACGAAATATTTAAGATTATAAACAGCAGTGATCAAAGTGATGTTTTTCTACATTTGATATGATTGTTACTGTTACTGCTAATAAGCATTATTTATTTTTTATTATTAGAAATTGCCGAGTTTTTTACATTTGTAAATTAAATTACTGTAAAACAAAGTCCCAAATTCAAATTATGTCTGTTAGGTATATTTTAGTAATAAGCAATTGCAGCTACCATCCACTACTTGAATAAGTATCTCATAGCATGAACAATTTTTGCTTTTTCCTTCTGCAAGGAAAATATGAAAACTAAGAAGTCATTTCAATATGAACACGAAATTAAGTCAAATGAAATTCGGAAAATTTAATTTAATTTAAGTTGCATTCAACGTTTGAATAACACAAATGATTTAAAATGCTTCAATGTTGTTATAAAACAAACTAACCTTAATTTACCAAATATATTCATAAAAACTGTATAACGCAAAAATCTTCACCTCTGACAAAAAAAATCCCTTTACCTTATTGTAATGTTTTGTATGACATATTCATATTCACGAATTCGAATAACAAATCAGAACTATTATATTCGATTCTAATCACAGACTACGAAATTTTAAATGGATCACGGAACTAAATTATATCAAAAGATTTTGTGATAACAGCCAAATTTGCATAACTATCCAATTAAGGTTAATTTTAATAAAGTTAAGAATTACATCAAATCATGAACAAAAATTTTGATAATTTTTTTTCAAATAAAATAATAAATCTTTTCGTTTTTTATTATTTTCTTAAATATCGCTGAAAGAAAATTTCACGATTACTGCGTCATATAAGTTTTTGAGGTTTCTTGCACAAGTAGAAAATTTTCCATGTTTTTCTTCGAAAGATGTGCTGCTTCGTTTGTTTTCTTTGAGAATTCTACGAATTCCTAGGATTCCAAAAATTCAATTTGTTTTGTTATAAAGATTGGACTATTTAATTTGTTCGAGAAAACTTAAGTAAGAAATCAGGAAATTACTTCCTGGAATCTTCTTCATTGCTTTTATTCTAATCGTTACATTGACTAAAGCAAATAAAAAAGATGAAGTGTTTCTGCAATTAAATTACAATGTACATGCTCAGAGCAAAGTCAAAAAGCACAAAAAATAAGCTGTATTTTACTAGATGTTCAATACTAAATTTATTATTTCTTACGATATTTTGCTGTTTAAAATCGCTCCGCAAGCATAACCTTTCAATGATTCAATGCATTCAAATTTAATGCAAAAATGCAAAAAAAAAATTTTAATGCAAAAAACAAAATTGTGAATATAATCGTGAAAAGTTAAAAACACTAGCAATATCGCATTTTGAAAATGCTGGTAAATAGCAAGAAATCATGAATTTACAAATTTGATCTTTGTTGCTTCGTAAAAATGACAGCAAATCTTTTGCTCTTTTTTTGCCACAATTAAAAAGTAGCAGAAATAAAAAGATTTGATTTATTATGTTTGCAAGATATATACATGCTTTTCATCAATAATTTACCAACCTAATTCCTTCCTACGAAGAAAACAGATGTCGCAATGTTATTCTTTCTAAAGGTTTATTTAATAAAGATTTAAGGAATTGTATTTAAGCTTTGTTTTGAGCATTTCTAAAACATATATCTTTTATAAGAAACAGTATGAGCATTCAAACAAATTACTAAAAGGTTGAGGCGTTGAAAATGAGGCCTGAAGTGTATTTAATAGCTGTTGCTATTAAGTGCACTCAAGGCTTTATTTTAAAACCATAAGACGAAAAGATACTGTTTGCTATGGAGACATTTCACAATGAGACAACGAATTTTTTTTAAGAAGCCTTTATAATCAAGCAAAAAGCAACTTGTCATGGTGATCATTTACAAATGAGCTAATGCATTCTTTCAATGAATTGTTGATGAATAAATTTTTGTGGTTTGAAATTTCAGTGAAAATATAGGCTTGAAACAAGGATAAAATGTTTGCTTCAAAGATTCATCATTTTGCATAAGCTATAAATGAAATATAATATTGATGTAATTAAAATACTCAGTTCCAGAACTGGAATCCGGTTTTTTGAAGCTCATCGTGAAGTACTACAAAACGGAATTTGCTTCGTCGAAGATTCTCCGAAAAAGTAATGATTGGAAATTATTCCTGGGCAAAATGAATCTTTCTTTACTTATTAAATGATTGATTCATTAATTAACAATATGCAGAGGATAAAAATGTCAATGGACTGTAAATGCTATAAGGATGAGAGTGATTATATTTGGCTAAATTTTTTCTTAGAATATAAAAGCATAAAATAAGCTAAGATTACATTTCAAATTAAAAGTTATGTCAAGTTTACTCCCTTTTCTTTTTCAAATATTTTTTTTCGTGGGTGATTGAGCAATAAGCGCTGTGATGTAATGAAATGTGATCAGAAACATATAGCATTTGTCAGAAATAATTTCAATCAAAAAATATCTAAGAAATGTTGAAGGGCAGGACTTAGGGCCTGAGGCTATACGCTTATATTCGTTTGTAATGAATGTTTGCCTATTTAAATGTCAATGTTGTTCAGGAAAAATAAGGAGGGATTCCGTGTGTCTGTTGCAAAAATTTGTCATAAATCAAATTTTAAAAAATATTTGTCTCAGCAGAAGTTCACTAAAATCTCTGTTGTAAAAATATTTTGTTATTCATCCAATAAATTAATTATAATGGTGAAACTTTTACGATGCAGTTAAAGAAATGATATTCGTATTAAAAAAATTTTTTTGAAGTGTATTTATATAGTTTTTGATTCTTTTTAATAAAATTTTTAAATTTTTTGGCAATTTTCTGATGTCATCAGATAACAATTTTTTCAAGTTAATGTGATTTAATTAATAAATAACAAAAACCACTGTGATATTAAAAAATATCAGAAAGATTTCGATGTCGGCATTAACAGTAAAAAGAATACAAGGAGATTACTGGAAATCGAGAATTCTGTGAATATCGGAATTCACAGATGCTTACTACAATATGCCTTTCATTAATTGATTTTAACTTCATGTCTAAAAAAGTCGAAAACCAACTTTCAGATTTTTTTTGATTCCAACTTTCAGATTAAGATCCAAATTTAAAGTGTGGAAGTTTTTTTCTGATATAAAATTTTGAGTCCACTTTATATAAGCCAGAAATTTTTTCCAATGGTTATGATGGATTGATGTCACGCAAACGTTTCTTTTGAAATAGTCTCGAAATATATCAATCGTCTGAAGATCATTGTACCATTTCATTTATTCATTCTAAGGCTAAACATTCATGTGTATTCATTCACGTCTAAGGTAAAAAAGCAGTGTCGTGGAAGTTTTTTGATTATTAGCGCAAATAATCTAGAACAATCCAGCATCGAAATCATAAGCAGATTGCTGGTCTGAATCATCGACAAGGTTTATCAATAAAAGAAACAGAGATCATTGTCAGTAATTAAACGAAGATTGATCTTAGGTTTTGAAGAAATGAAGAAGAAACGAGAATCCGATCTCTCAATATCAGAAAAGAACGAAAAGCAATGAAGAATAAACCAAATTTATATCCCCTTAGTTATAACTAACCATAAACATACATGTCTGAGATAACTACAGATTCAAACAAAAAATCAGTAAGACGAGAGGATTTCGCACCCTTTGTTAATGAAGATTATTGGAATGATGAATACCATACTTATTCTACAAACCTTTACAATACTGTGTTATGTCACATTAAATATAAAGATTACATACGATCAGTTGGACCAATTAAAGATAAAACAAATTCGAAAAAGTAATCAATCAGTAATAATCGAGAGTACGCTCTGATCAGTTTGTTGCCAAATAACTGGACAAGAAAATACAGCAGTAACATTACGTCGGATTTCAGATATGCATTGCACTGGACACAAAATCATTCTCGTTTATTACCGAGATTTGCATAAAATTGTGTTGAAGAAATACGAGTTAAACTTTCATTTCACCATATTTCAAGTGGAAATAATTCTTCGGGTAAACGCAGCTATCAGAGGAATTTCTCCTCTTAAATTCGCAGATTTTGGTGGAGAGGACCGAGCTGACTGCAAAAGAAAAATCAAAATGGCTACATCGAGAATATAATTTCAACAAAGATCATCATAAAGAATAGGAAAATGAAGAAGGAGACCAGCTTACTGCACAGATTAATATTAACAAAAATTTTAAACCGGTTGTGGAAAAAGATTTTATTATGTCAACTTTGCCAGCATTCGAATATTTGCAACAGAATAATCGACGGATGATGAAAGAAACTCCCTCTAGCGAAATTTAATTCTTATAAATTGATGATTTGCATTGGCATGTTATGATGCAATTCAATTGCATTTCTCCATGCAAAGATACTGTGCAAAATGAGAGCGGACAGGTAAATAAAAAATGAGAACGGACAGGTACTGATAGATGTAGCGAACGAAAATGAGATTAGTCATGGTGGGAATATCTGCGAGCTCGAAGCATTTAGATAAGCATTTACATGTGAATTAGTCGTTAAGCATCGGAATGGAACATTGCAAGCATTCAGTTACATTTATTATAAATGATGAATCATTAAATGATTTCTATGTATATCTTTTTTTGCTAAAATTATCTTGATTTTCTCAACACTCCCACAGAAGAAGGTAAATATGTTACAGGAAATTATCGAAAGGAATTTCGTTTTGTAAATTTATTTTGGGGAGTTTCTTTAAAAAATAAAGACTTCATATTTTCTATAGGAAATAACTGTAATTTCCTCAATTATGATTTCTTCTTTACTCTTTCTGAAGGATATAAGTCAGATTAAAGATTTAATTAATTCAAATTTTAGTTTAATAATAATTATTATAATATAAAGAAAGTTATCTCAACAGTAATCAGTTTTCAGAGTTTTACCGTTTGTGATAATCTTCTTCATTAATTTTTATAGCTTTGCCGATTCCGTTCCACTAATTCTCCATTAATTCCTCTTCCTGATGATTGATTTCATCACATAATTCTTTTGATTATAGTTGTTCAATAGCCGGATTAATTATTTATTGACGTTGCATCAATACTTCTAATTCGGTGTTAATTCGTTCGATCAGCTCTTCGTTTAGTATTTCTTGTAGATTTAATCGGTTTGCTAAATTCCTGGTTGTAAAGGAAATTGCGAACCGATATTGAACAATGTCAGCGCTTCTTGAATTTTTAGCTTCATCGGATTGTTTATTTTGATTTCTTTGCATAGCACAAGACTTCTTTGATTATTTCATTCGACTAGCCTTTGATTGCTCCAGCATATCATGCGTCATCCTTATCTCTACAGTGAGAATTTTGTCGTGACTTTACGTTTCACTTATACTCAACTGACTTCTTTTCTTTTCTACTGCTAAATGTTTGCGACTTTTCTCGGGAATAATCGATCGTAGCCTCTATTCAATACCCAACTTGCAATCTGCTTTCATCAATAATTCCAATACTAGGGTGTTTTCGATTCTCACTTATAGCTTTTTACTGTCGGAGAACTCTTTCGATCACTTCAACTATTATCTTCCATTCTCGATCATTTTTCTTAATGAATGTAATTTATTATGGATCGACTTTTTGATAATGAATAGTTTTCCGAATTTTTCAATTGAACTTTTCTTATAATTGAACTTTGTTGTAGTTTCCTAATACCACAACTTGTAATGCATCATTTGCGAGACATTTTTGAATATCTCACATTTGAAAAGCTAATCCAGAATTTTCTCCATGGTCATCAGTGAATGTTGACAGCGATAATTGAGGTAAATTTACTATTATCTGATAAACTACTTGGAATGACTTTCGCTATTGGGTTAGTTTTTTATTTGTATAGCCTAGGCTTAGGCGGTGAAGTATTAAATTGTAGTCATTTTTATGCATATTTAAAGTTTTTTCGCCGTATTATGATTTGCCAAGTATATTCCCACTATTTTTTGTTGATAGCTACGAGAGTTCAAGGACATTATTTTTTCCTCGATAATTCTTTTCTCGCCTTATATCGTTGAAATAATTCTCTTGGCAGCTGCTAATCTAATGACGTTAAATGCATTTCTTTAACTTGATCGATAAACTTTTTCGGTTTTTCTTTTTCATGTTTCTTACCTTTGATTAGATTGGTAGATATTTCCCCACTCGTGAGAAGAAAATTTTTTTGTTGTGGAAGTTTTTCGGATAACTAACACAGACAGACTGTTGCTACAAAGGTCTTACTGATTGATAGATGGATGATTTCTTCTTCATGTACGTTATAAGACAGTTATCAGAGAATATCACGGATGGAACTGGTCAGTATAGATTGCGGTGCTGTTTGAACTGATCCGCGGCTCACTATTTATGATCCCTTTAAAATAGTTACAGCTATGTAAATAACTTATTTTACGACGATTTGACAAAGCACATTATTTATAAGATATAATTTATATATTAATCGAACAAATGATTTATTACTTTAGGTATTGAAGCATTTATTTATATTCATTTCGTGTAATGAATCATTTAATTAGAAAAGATTCCAAGCAAAACAATCTTTATTGCATAAAATTTGTACAATACCAAAATACTCTGATTTGATTATTTCAATGTATTCATATCATGAAAATATTTCGTGATTTTCTGACAAGCACACTCTAAATTGACTTATCGGCAACGAAATCATATTGTTGTCGGCTCACTTAAAATTCCGTCGTGTATTGGCAATAGACGAAAATGTTGCATCTCGTCCCATATTCATCAAAGAGGTGTGTACGAGTTTACCTGTGTCATTCTATTCTGGTTTAAACCTTTCTGCAGAGCCGACTATTCTGATTCAAATTTTGAGGAACGGAACACTCGCTAGTTTACTACGATTGGTTCAAAATTTATAATGAGTAACCACAGGTAATTCATTGACGGTTCAGATTTCAGTAGTTAAATTGAAATGATGATGTTTATATCATCGGTTTTGGACTATATGTGTAATATATATTAAATTGCTCTAAGTAACAGTATATAAAGGCACTCTGGTCGATAATTCAGTCGAGTCCAATAGAGATAATCACTACTAAAACCATTAGCATTAACTCAGAGAATTATTCAAGTTCTTGAAGGACGACGTTGAAAATTTTTGTTTTAATGGATCATTATTTTGTGGAGGATATCCTTTGTTTTTCTACGATAGGTGGAAATGATCGTTTGCATTTTTCAAATATTCAATTTTTTTGAAAATGTATTGATTGTACAGCGTTGAAAGATATTTCAAGAACTTCAAGACAGATTCAACTAGAAAAAGTTGACTAACTGGGTGTAGGGTATTTAAATCAATTAAAGTGTTGAAAAGTGTTTAAGTAAAATAAGGTTTAAATAAAGTTAGATTTAAATTTAAATACAAAATTAGGTTTAAATACATAATGTGTTTATAAGTGTTTACACTGAAAATTAGGTTTAAATACATAGGAAAGGAAAAGTTTCATACTATTTCAGCTTGCAAGTGGATGCAACCTCATTGACTTTAAAAGCTTTGGAGAGGCTCAAGGACCTTTACTGTAACATTGCGCAAGTAATTTTTCCTAATTTATTTCAAACAGTTCTTTACCACAATTATTTTTAAAATATCGATCAACATTGTCCTCATGTCTGTATTACTACATTGTTCGCTTTAGGTACCTTTGCCACAGAATGCCCGCTTACGGCGTCACGGGAAATATTTTGAAGTGCGTTTATGATCTTTTTATACTTGTTTATTTCTATTATATCTCTGAACATGTGATCTTTGTCGCTGGAAAGATCATATTTTTTTATTTTATCCATTTGTTGGAGCGACTAGAACACTGTAAACATACTTGTT